TTCCTGGCAGGTTGGCCTCTCCCAGGGCTGCCAGAGTCATTACCAGTCAGCATGTCAGGCTGTGAAATTAAAGCCGTTTTGATTTCATCTTTTATTTTCCATATCCACTAATTTATTAAATGCCATTAAATGTTGGGCCTGGCTCCGGCTCATAGAGTGTGCTGGGGACTGCTGAGACCTGGTGTTTAAAAATCTCCTGCAAGCACAGATGGGCTGCAGGGTGGAAGGACACTGACCTCTAACCCCGGGGTCTAGTGGGCTCTGCTGCTGCAGATGGCATAGGGTTAGCGTGACCAGAGGGCATAGTGGGTCTGATGGGGCTGGGTGGTGGCTCATACCAGGTCAGGAGGAGCTCAGATGGGTGGCGGGGATTGGGAGGGTGGGCTGCGTGGGGGTTGCTTTTCCAAGTGGACATGAGTCTCTGGGTGTGGTCTTGTTCCTTCATTTCTTCACTCACCCATCTATCCATCCATTTGTTGAGCAATATTCAGTATTCCAGGCACATTATCGCCCTATGGTGGGAGAAGCACAGATAAGCTGTAATCCTGGCCCTGGTAGAATATGTCTTTTTGTGAGGGTGGGCAACAAGTCTACACAGAAGCCTGGGACCCCGGATGTGCCCCTCTGGCCCCACCCTGGCCCAGCTCGCTCATGTGGGAGGAGGCAGAAGCTCAGGAGGGAGGGCGATGGAGGGGACTGTGGGCCCAGCCCTAGAGGAGCGGTACCTGTGCAGACAGGCATGGCACTGGCAGAAGCACACGGCAAAGCTGTAGTCAGTGTGGTTCACACTGAAGATAAGGAGCAATGCTATGGGATGTCAGGCTGATCGGCTCTGACTTAGTCAATGAGCGGGTGTGGAGAACTGGCCTGAGATAGTTCGGGTCTCTCTGAGCCTCAGTTTACTTGCTGTACTTGTGTGGAGTGGCCCAACAGATGAGGAGGACCCTGTGTGGGCTGTGGGTGTGAGGGCTCGTGTGTGTACCGAGGGGCCTGGGTCTTCTCCCTCCAGCAGGCCACAGGTAGCCCCCCAGTAGCACACATCTGAAGTCTGGGTTTCCTGGAGGCTGTGGGCACATGTAGGAATCTGTCTACATTTGGATGCGGCTATTTGGAGCCCTGAGTTGAAGCTATTTCTAAATGGCTCAGCTGGGGAACAGGCAAGGGGCAAGGAAGCCTCAACCTGTCCCTGCTTAGAGAAAGGTACCGGCCAGGCCCAGGCCACACCAGGGCGGTGTCACCTCTGGCTAGCTGGGCCCCGATCCCCTGAGTCACCCTGCTTTGCCCCAGATTCTTCAGCCTAGAGCTTGATGGTAGCTTGGTCATCTCTGCTGAGACAGCCCTCTGGTTTGGGAAGGGAATTTTCCCAAATGCCACCTGCTGAGCTCTCCATCCGGAGCCCTGGCGTGCCACTCCCAGGCCTTGCATCCCTCTCCCTTGTCACCCCTGCCACACCCTCCTGCCCCCTGCTCAGGCTTCGCGGCCAGCTTCCTGTCCTCTTGCTCTCCGATCTGTCTGGGAAAGGCCTTGTTCTCCAACTCTGCAGTAAATCTGTTTCTGCTGCCAACTCCTCCCAATTGCTCACTGCCACCTGCCAGGCCTGAGCTCTTAGTCACTCGTGCCCAGCCTTTCCACTCCGCTGGAGGCCTCTGAGCACCTCTCCCATGAATGCCATCCCTTCCAGAGCCAGCACTGTCTTCAGCCGTCCCAGGGATCATGCCAAGCCCTTCCCCAGGGGCAGTGATGCCTGGCCTGAGGATGGGCCCAGGGCAGGGTTTCTCAGCCTCTGTCAACATTTGTTGACAGCAGTTCTTTATTGCAGGGTTTGTGTAGGGTTAGCAGCATCCCTGGACTCTCCCCACTGCATGCCAGGGACACTGCCTGCCTCAGCTCTGACAAATATCTGCAGATATTCTGTGGTCTCCTGGGGAGCAAAATTGCCTCTGGTTGAGAACCACTCATCATTGAACATTGTCTAAGAGCTGTACCTGTTAGGCAAGGACTGTGCTGGAAGGGATTGGAGAAGGAATCCAGCCCAAATCCTACAGTTTATAGGAAATGGGGCCTGGGAGAGCTGCAGAATCTTAGGTCACACAAGGGAGCCTTGTGATGAAAGAGGTGTTTTGGAAAAGGATTCAGGCAGCTCTGTGCAAGCTGCACTGAGAACAGAGCACAGAGGTAGCGAGGGCTGTGAGTACGCTGAGTAGAGGCTCGGGGCTGAGGCAGGTGTCTTGGTACCTGTCACCTGTCAGTCACCTGTCAGACACCACACTCACAGGTCTCCCGGGAAGGAGAAGGTATAGAAGACTGCACCCAAATGCAAAAGGCAGGGACTTAGCCTAGCATTGTGGCCAGGTACCAACTGCCCCCCTTGGTTTCCTCGTCTGTTCTGCGTGTTTTTGTGACAGGGCCTGACATACCTGTAGGTAGCAGGCTTTGCCTGGCTCTCACTTGGGGGCTGGTGGGGCCTGGGGGCGGAGGTGAGAAAGGAAACAGGTGGGGGGCTGGGGATTTAGCTCAGCGGCAAAAGCGCCTGCCTGGCAAGCGCAAGGTCGTGAGTTCGGTTCCCGGTACCGGAGAAAAAAAGAAAGGAAACAGGGTTCTGGCTCCGTTGTCTTCCTGGTGGAGGGAAGCAACAGGAGGGTGTTGGGAGGCTCATGGATGGACCTCATCAGAGGTATACAGTGGGGTGGTGGCCAGCCTGAGAGGGGCTGGGCTCTGTCCCCAGGGAGCAGTGGCTTCTGCAGAAGGCTGTGCGCTGGGGGGGTCCAGGGACCCAGCAGCCGGGTGGGAGGCACCCTGCAGCTCCACGCTCCTTTCTCCTCTTGTTCAAGCACCCGCTGCTGTGGGGTTTCTACCTACGCATTCTGGGTCTGGCTTTTAGAGCTATAAATCTTCAGCCTGAAGAGCGTGCATTTTTCAGGCTATGATTAATGAAAGAAAAATTGAGACGGCAGCATAGAAATGGACTAAGTTTGAAGAAAGTCAGGGACAAGTTGTATGCAAATTTCAGCGTGTCATGGGTGAACCCAAAGAGCTTCTGAACCATGCTGAGGGGCCATCTAGTGGTTGCGGAAGGTGGCAGCACCCACTCCCCTTGGATTGCTTTGTGAGTCGTCTGGGTGCATGCAGGTCTGCAGGTGCTGTTCTTTGGACACCTTTGACCTAGTTCCACCCAAGGCTGCTCCAGGGCAGAGGAGGTACTTGACCACTCTCTGCAGCATGGGGACCCGGCAGATGCTTGATTTATCTGACTTCCCCCAGCTCTGGTTTCCTACTCTATGCAAGGATCTCCCACCATTTCTTTTTCTCATGCATGGTCCTGGGGGGGCACTCTTGTGTTTCTGCATTAATCAAAGTCTTGCTCCTCCCTCGAAGCCCAGCAAGCCTTGTCAGCATGCCGCAGCTTGCACTGGACCTTTTCTCACCGTCCTTCCTAACGGTGTGCTGCGGCGTCTGTCGTACCCACTGCCACTGGCTGCCGCTCCACTCCCTCCAGAGCTCTCCTGTTAGGACTGCAGCTGCAGTGATGTACAGGAAACCAGTGGGACTGTGTCACTACCCTGCCCTGGGACAACCTGGACATTTTCCTACCTGCAGGCCCTTTTCTCTGTCCCCACTGAGTGTCATCTTACCCGTTCTTACCCATCTTACCAGTGTTGTGGCCACACTGCCACCTGGCTGGCCAGGCTGCTTCCAGCTCCAGGCCTCTGTGCCGGCTGCACTGCTGTCTAGAGCACCCCCACTATTTGTGAAGTCCCTCATCCCTCGTCTGACACTACCCTGTCTCCAGGTACTTTGTAACCCGTACATGCCCTTAGTGTTCCTCCTGTGTCAGCACCTGAAGTTCTGTCAGTGCTCACCCGTCACATTGGTGTCCCCACAAGATCCTCTTCATGACAGCAGAATCTTTGCTGGGTGTTCACCACGGCCTCCCTGTGTACCAGGCAGTGTCCCCAAAGGAGATGAGATCCTCCCCCCAGCTGCCCCCTCTCTGCCCAGTTGTGGTTGGCCTCATCTCAGCCAGCACATCTGTGTGTCCTCCCCAAGCAGAGCAGCTGGAGAGCAGGGGCTGTGTTCACATCAGGGATCACAGCCGCCTGCATTTATTTTGCGCCAGTGTATTGCTGGGGTGGGGTGCATGCTGTGTTTCACTGCCTTGTCCATCCAGAGTGGAGGCCCCTGGAAGGCAGGTCCCTAAAGTAGCTGTAGCTGCTCTGGCAGTGGCTGTTGCACCCTGTAGGTGCTCAGTAAATTCTGGTTGACCGATGGGCTTCTCAGACGCAGCACACTTCGCTGGAGCCAGCAGAGGGAGTAGGGCAGTATCTGATATATGGAACATAAAATAGGCAGATGTGGGGCTGGCACAAGTGAAAGAGGAGCTTCCCTAGGTGGAGCAACTGGCGTCATCAGCACCCAGGGTGCTGGGAGGAGAATCAGCTGTAGGCCCTGCATGCTGGCCGCTGGCCAGGGCAGCCATGGCCTCCCCACCCTGTACCACCGCCACCCCTCCACCAGCCCCATTCATGCTGCTCTTCCTCTGCCTATGGGCTTTGTTCTTCAGCCTCCTCGGACAGGGCAATGGGCTGCAGCCCCCGAAAGTCCAGGCTCTGAGAGCGCAAGCTCCACATTCCCCTCTGCTCCCCAAGACCGGTCCTAACTTGCTAGCTCTCCCCTGCAGCCCTTCAGCCTTCATCCTAAACACTGGGTCTCTGTAGCTGCCTCTTTGTGCCTTGTACATTCTGCATGTTTGCTTTGTGCTTCTGTCTCTGACTCCTTACCAGGACCCTATGAGGTTCATGAAGTGTCTCTACTCCTGTTCATCAGATGGGGAGACTGAGGCACAGAGAGGGGGAGGATTTGTCATGGTCACCTGCTTCGGGTCTGAGGCCCAGTTCTCCCCCGTGTGGTCCCAGGGCTGGCGTAAGGAACGTGCAGGCTTCTAGGTTTCAGGCACAGGAGGTGAGAGCAGCGCTGGTCTAATAGCTCTTCTTTCTCTCCAGCTCTGTGGCTGTGGGCTGCTTGGAGTAGGCATCTGGCTGTCCGTGTCCCAGGGCAACTTTGCCACCTTCTCCCCCAGCTTCCCTTCGCTCTCTGCAGCCAACCTCGTCATCGCCATTGGCACCATCGTTATGGTGACCGGCTTCCTCGGTTGCCTTGGGGCCATCAAAGAAAACAAGTGCCTCCTGCTCAGCGTGAGTTGGACCCCAGTCCCGACCCCAGGGGACTGCATTGCACCATGTGTGGGTTGGTGAGGCAGGCAGGCCCTGGCAAAGCCGGGGCCCAACCCTAGCCCAGGGCAGTCACTCCTAGCATGTTGTGTGCTTGGCCTCATCCCAGCCCTACTGTCCTCCTGGGTTTCCCCAGGAGTCGTGGCCCCTCTCAGGCCTGGAAGCCCTGCCAGGTCGGGCCTGCCCTCTGCCCCCACCACTCTGCATTTGTACTGTCCCTGGCTATTGCCATTACCCCGTGCCCATGCCTGGACCTTTTCTTCCTAGTTTTTCATCGTCCTGTTGATCATCCTCCTCACGGAACTGATCTTGCTCATCCTCTTCTTTGTCTACATGGACAAGGTAAGCTTTGCAGCACGGGAACAGTGGGAGTTGTGGCCCTGGGGTTGGGCCAAACTAAGGCAGGTTCTGTTTTGTTTTGTTTTTCTGGTACTGGGAATCGAACTCACGACCTTGCGCTAGCCAGGCAGGCGCTGTGCCGCTGAACTAAATCCCCAGCCCCTAAGGCAGGTTCTTTCTCAGGCCAGAAGAGAAGCCTTGGCAGGGAGCCCCATAGAGAAAGGAGTATGAGATTGGGAGAGCTAGGATGGCCAGCCAGGAGAGACCCTGGTGGAAGGTTTTGTGGTAATAGCATGGAGAAAGCAAGTTTGGGGACAGTGAGGGAGTTTGTTACCTGGTGCAGTCTTAGAAAATGGGATGCCTGAATGACATAGAGATGGCCTTGGTGAGCTCCCATCACTGGAATTGTGTGTAACAACCACGTGGAGTGGAGATTCACACCTCACTTGTGCTTGGCTACTACCCTTGGATGATCTAAGAGTGACCCATCTGAAACAAGAAGGCCTGTCCCGGCCACCCTGATGGGGTAGGCCTGACAGTGAGGGGCAGCTGCATTCCTTCTCACTGACCTTCAAGGATTCCTAGGAAGATGACCTGAGCAGCCCCAGCCTCTGCACTAGCTGGACCATTTGCAACCACATTGAGACTTTTGAGTGACTACAGAGGAGGCCCAGGCATGCTCTTGGGCCCTCAGAACTTAGCCAGCCTGGGCTCCTCTGCTCCCTGGAACTATGTATAACGTGTCCCTAGGTGCCAGGCCATACAGACAGCGGGAGGCATTAGCAGGACTCCAAACCACAAGTCTTCAGTTCTGTACTTGTGGAAGAGAGGAGAAGTAACCACACTGAGAAGTTGCTCTGTGAGCCCTGTGCTTGGCTGTTCGTAGGAATTGCTTCCTTTTATTCTCACAAAATCCTCAAGAGGTGCAGATCTTATTATTCCAGTGGAACAGGGGACAGAGATGAGAGAGCAGCCGCATTGCTCTTTAATGAGAGGCGGACATAAGGGCAGAGGTCTCTCTCCCTCTCGATCCCAGGGTGTCTGGGAGGGGTGGCCTGTAGGGAAGGTATGGGAGGGCAGAGTGGCCAGCAACACAGCTGCCCCTGGGCCAGGCTGGCAGCAGGTGATTTGTCTCTTCGCCTGGTAGGACTGTAGCTCTGGCCCTAAGAGTTTAGCTGTGCCACAGGCAGTGGGCCATCAGTGCATACTACAGCCTGAAGCCAGGGTGCCACCACCCCTCCCCGCCTTGGGCCCATTGATCCCTGCACTGCGGGGAGCTGCTCCCACCACAGCCCTCACTGCTGGCCGGGGTCAGGGAGGGGCCGCACTGTGGGCCCGGTGACCTGCAGTGCTTACCTCACCCATCCAGGTGAATGAGAACGCCAAGCAGGACCTGAAGGAAGGGCTGCTTCTCTATAACACTGAGAACAACGTGGGGCTCAAGAACGCCTGGAACATTATCCAGGCCGAGGTGAGTCACCGGGCCTCTGGGATTTAGCCAGCAGTGGGGACCAGCAGCAGACGTGCTCACATGAGACGGACCAGTTGGTGACGGAGGCTGGCGAGCCTGGATGTTGGAGTAGCCGGCAGAGGGGCTGTGGGGTGGGTGAGAGTCGAGAGGACAGTAGGTGTGTGCTGCCAGACCTGCTCACAGGAGGCAGCAGGAAGTGCATCCGGCAGCCACTTGGAATGCAAAGCTGCCCGGCGCTGGTGACAGTCTGAGGGGTGATGTGTTGCTGTCTCCCCACCTGGTCCCAAGGAAGGAGCAGTCATTTGTCTCCCAAAGAAGGGACAAGAAGAAGGGCCCCTGTCTCCTACCCTGAGCTCCAGGGTGGCTGCTTCAGTGGCTGGGGTTGGCCTCCGCGGGAGGCCTGCGAGCCGTGGTGAGGCTGACCAAGCCTTTCCATCTTGCCTGGCAGATGCGATGCTGCGGGGTCACTGACTACAGAGATTGGTACCCGGTGCTGGGGGAGAACACAGTGCCTGACCGTTGCTGTATGGAGAACTCCCAGGGCTGTGGGCGGAACAGCACTACGCCTCTGTGGGAAACGGTGAGGCCGGGCGCTGCTCCCTGGGGTCTGTGTGTGTCGGCCTGGCCAGAGGAGAGCTGCCAAGGCCATGGCTCACTGCGGAGGTCGGTGGTGCGCGTACGTGTGTCCGTGCACGTGTGTGTCCGAGGGCACGCTGGACCCACATTTGGGAGTCAGGGAGGGACTGAGTGGGGTCTGTGGCTGTGCAGCTGGCCTTGTGGGGAACCTGGGAGCAGCCTGTGTGCAGGGAGGAGCAGGGCTGGAGGTCAGCAGGGCTGGGGCTGCAGGGCAGGGGAGGCTGGAGACGTCACGGTCATGCTGTGCTTCACTCTCCAGGGCTGCTATGAGAAGGTGAAGATATGGTTTGACGAGAATAAGCACGTGCTCGGCACCGTGGGAATGTGTATCCTCATCATGCAGGTACAGAGGGGCGGCTCAAGGAAAGCCAGAGGAGGGAGAGACGCAGAGAGGCCTCCCAGCCTGTCCGTGCCTGCTGGGGTGTCTGGGATCCACCTAGAGCTTTCAGGCCTGGCAGCCAAGGCTTCTGTCACAGCACAGCTCTGGTGTGGGGTCTCGCCCTGCAAGCAGGATGGTGCTAGGCACTGAGCGGGCTGGCAGGTGCAGGTGCCACCAGGTGCCTTTCCGTTGCTCTCCAGCCTCTGCCTGTGCCTGGGAGGAAGGCGCCCGCCAATGCCCTGCTCGCTGCCGGACAGCCTGAGTGTGAGGTGCACTCAGCGTGGTGACGGGAAGCCACAGCCTGTCCCTTCCTGCAGCGTATCTCTGGATCCTTTTCAGGGTTCAGGTTGAGGAACAGAAACAAGCACCAGTACTGTCCTAGGCATATACTGTATGTCCAAAACATGTCCAAAAACAAGTGCGCTAGAAATAAACAGGAACAACTCAGCTCGATTTCCATGACCCCCACTTCCTCCTTCAGATCCCTCCTGGGGCAGGCTCCACGCAGCAGGCCCTGCGGTGTCCGCAGCCAGGAAGCCGTGGAGAGGGGCCGTGGTGTTCCGGGTGCACAGCTCTGCCTGTGTGTGACCCCAGGGTGCACCATCTCCTGTCTGTCGTGCTTTCCCAGCACCCTGAGGCTGTGCCACTCACGCCAGGGGCCGGGTGACAGCCAAGGCGTGAGAGGCGAGCCAGGGCCCAAGCTGCCATATGAGACCCTTCTCTTGTCTTCCAGATCCTGGGCATGGCCTTCTCCATGACCCTGTTCCAGCACATCCACCGGACGGGGAAGAAGTACGATGCGTGAGCAGGCTGGCAGAGGCCCCGCCCACTGGACACTGGAGGGAAGAGGGCTGTCTCCGGCCTGTACCCTCCCTGCGGCCACCGCCCCCCTCTCCCCTCCTGCCACCCACCTCAGCGTGGATTCTCAGCGGCAGAGGGCTGGGGAGGAGGCACACGCAGAGACTGCGGAGCGCTGGGCACTGGACTCCTGCATCTGCGAATTTGCCAAAGACCACGGGGTGGTTGGGGGTGTTAGGAGAAGGCCTGGCACTGATGGGTTTCTGCCCTGCCCTGCCCTTCCTCACACTGACATGTTGTCCCCGAGTGGGTAGGGAGCGGGGTGCTCCCCGGGGCAGCACTGTCCCCCACACAGGCCACTGCCGTCTGTGTCCGCCCAGCGGGGTCTGCCCCTGCCAAGCAAGGCCCTGAGCATTGTGCCCAGGCTTTTTATACCTGACAGTGTAACTTTTTTATTTTACTCTGATTACGATTATTCAGGAATATTATCTCAGATAAGTTTAGGGTTAGCTTTCTGATTTATAACTTTTTACTCTGTTGATTTCCTTAACGGTGTGAGTTTCCCTTCCTGTGAGTGGGGATGGGTCGGGAAGAAGACATCGTCCATCCACTTTGCTTCAGGACACACCCGTGTGACTCTTGAGTGGCTGTAGGGTGAGACATGCCAGGTCTTCTGGAGTGCATCCAAAGGGGCAGATGTGTCTGGGATGAGGCCCCTGCCAGGCCTGGCACCCATGGACAAGGGGCCAAGGAGCATGAGGAGTGTGGCAGGGCACCCTGCAGGAGGTTGACAGCAGAGAGCCCAGCGCAGTGGGGAGTGTGGGGGCAGGGCACTGGCGAAACACTGACGAGCTCGGTGCGAGCCGGCAGGGTCCTTGCCCTTTCTGACAGTGAGCAGTGTGTGGTCTACTGCTGGGTGCTGTCCGCAAGCAAGTAACCATGAGCCCCACGACTTCCAGACATTCCTGCGGTAGACTCTCACATGGACACCTCCAGTCCTGGCCTGGATCCATCTTCACCTTGCTGTGAGACAGGGAAGCAGTCCTCGTGTCTGGCTGCTTGGATGACAGCAGGGGACCCAGAAGCCTCAGGAGGGGGTGGCAGAAGTTTCTCAGGGCCGCTGACTGCCCTGCTCGAATCTCCTTCCCGGTACCCACTGCCGTCAGCAGGGGTCTAAGTGGCCGCCACATCCTGTGTGATCTCACAAAGTACAGAAAACCCACCAGGCCAGGTCAACCTGTCACAGCATTTCTGGGGAGAAAGCAACGGGGCGTGAACAGTGGGGGAAGCGGTTGAGGTGCAGTGGATACCCCGTCAGAATTAGAGGGGCTGAGCTTGGAAGGGCTGCAACCACCAGGTGGAGATTGGGTCTTCATCGGACAGCTGCCTTTGCCCACCAGGGCAGGTCTGCTCGAGCTGCTGCCTACCTCTCCTTGGGTTGAGACCCACCCACCACCCTAAGATCCACCACCACACTTAAGTAACACGCACGTCAGGACCAGGGTGACTTGGGGGTCGGGAGTTGAAGAGGAGGGTGGTCTCACTGGTGGGGCAGAGTCAGGACTGCAGTGTGTGTGGAGGTGCTGAGAAGGATGGGGCAAGTGCACATTTGAACGAAGTCGCCCTTGCCTGAACTCCGGTGTGTTTTCCTGGTAAGGAGCAACAGCTGCCTCTCTCCGGACTCCAGAACAAGAGGGCGGCACAGACCTGTCACTGCAGGCACCTGGCAAACAAGTGGTGTTGCACAGAGGACTGGTGTGTGATGTTTTTGCTGAGGGTGGGTGGGTTTTTTTTTATGCCTATCGATGCAATTTTTAATAGCAGCAGCAGAAGCAGTGGAGGCACATAGCCTCCCTGGCTTCTTAGGTTTCTGGAGCCTTTGCCACAGCCATCCTCTGCCCCGCCTCATCCATCCGTCCCAGACCCTCGTCTACAAGCTGCCTTCTTGCCCCGCTGAGTGTAGCTGCTGAGTTGTTGGGCCGAGGCTGCACAAGGTAGAGTCTCCAGGCACAGGGTAGGTGTTCTCATGAGCCCCTGCCCATCCCAGACCACCTGGAAGGTTACGCGGAGTGATGCCATAGGAGATGGCTCAGCATCTCCGGTTTCTCCTGACCGTGATCTCCCTGGGGCCGAATTCCAGGGTGATGCACTCACTTTCGGCTCCCCTGGCCACAGGAGTTCCGTTCCATCAGGGCTGATGCAAGCAGTTGACAGACTTGACTCGGAAAGTCCCTTTGGATTTGTAGGTGACTTCCAGGGAATGCCTGACATAGACTAGGCCTCTCTCTGCGGCACCTTGTGGAGGGCTGAGGGGGCAGGGCTGAGGACTGCCCTGGAGTGACTGGCAGCAGGTGGCAGCCACCCGTCACCCAGCCAGCCTGTGCCTGCCCCTTGCACCCTCACCCTGGCGAGGTTGCTAACCCCGTGCACGGTTCTGGTTTGATGTGGAGCTAGGTGGCCATGCCTCCAGGCCACGGTGGTCACAAAGCAGTCCAGGTGGCTGGAAGTGAGTGTGCCCTCTCCTCTGGCCCCCCGCCCACCCTCTGGTGGAGGTGCTAATTAGCAGGGACATAGCACAGGGTGGGAGCCAAGTGCTGGCTGCTTGGGGCTTGTTCTCGGTCCCTCAGCCCTTCAGCATCTGATGGCTCCCTGGTGTCCCTGTCCCCTCATCTTCCCCTCTGCTGCAGTGAGGCCGCCGTCCAGGGTGTGTCCTGGCCTCCCCGCCCCTCGGCCCTGCCCATGCCCCGAGCACCTGCCTGCCCAGGGCAGTGTGGGGGAGCCAGAGCGCACGCTTGCTGGTTTCCGATGCACTTTCTGCTTGTGATGCCTGTCTGTACATCACCTCATCCCAGTCCTGGCTTTATTGGACTCCATGTTTTTAGCATGTTTTTAAATAAAAATGGATAATGTGTCAAAAACACAAGCAGGCGGCCCCTGAGTGGTGTGTTCTTCCCACTACGATGACTTATTTCACATGGTAGTTGTCATAAGGGACTTGGGGTGGGAGTGGGGATCAGGCCCTGGTCTTCACCTTTGTCCTAGACACTCCCGAGAGCAGGGACCTCATCTTCCTCCCAGGGCCCAGGTGAGAGAGACGCTGGGGTGGGGTTGGGACCTCGTTTCCCTCCCAGGGCCCAGGTGAGAGAGATGCCGGGGTGTTGGGAGTCTCAGTCTCCTGCCTAGGAGCCTGAGGCATGCCGACACCCCTGCTTCCATCTCTTGAGCTGATGAAGCTTGATCGGGGTCAGCCTTAAGTGGCTGCGTGAGAAGGCCTTGGCTCACCTTGATGGCTGCTTCCCAGTCAGTGCCCAGGCCTGTGTGTGGGAGGAGGGGAGGACACATGAGCAGCTCCCTGCAGGGGCAGGGTTATCACACTAGGTAGTCTCTCCCCAGCCCGTCTAATATTTTTGGTGCTCCTGTGAGCCTGACAGATGCCCCAGGAGTGCAAGGTCTGCATGGTATTGCTCAGCAAGAGCCACCTTCCAGGGTCCTGTGAATGGGCCTCTGGGGAAGGCTGGGGTCGTGTTAGAGGATGGTTGTGACAAAGAAGGCCCTCTGCTGGCTGGGCCCCTGTCTCGCCACCTCATGGGAGTGGAAGGCTCAGTTGGGATCTGGCTGTCTTAGTCCCTGTCACAAGTCACAGCTGCAGATGAGGGAAGCTCCTAGTTCTTGCCCTAGGTAACTGCTGTGCCACTGTCCCTGGGTGGAGGCAGGGATGAAGAGTGAACGTGCCCAAGGACCTGGAGGCCGTCGAAGGTGGCGCAGCTCCCAACCTGAAGGGCGGCCTCTCTCCCCACAGGAGTAGCCAAGTTGACGGGAAATCTTCCCAAAGTCTCAACCTGTGGGACCCCATCCTGCAGCAGGCGTGGAGACTGCAAAGGGCAGGTGACCTCTCCAAGGTCCAGCTGGAGTGGGCCTCTGAGGTCCTCCCAGGAGATGCACTGAGAGGGCCTTTGTGGATATAGGGTCAGGAGCAGTTGGCTGGAGTGGTTCAGCCATGATTATCTGTTGAGGACCACCCAGGTCATAGGAATTTGGGCAGAAGCCACTTTGCCTTTGCCCATTCTTGCTCTCGGCCCTGGGCCCCAGGGTGTGGACACATGCTGAAGCGCCCACTGATTAGCATGCGGGCTATCAGTGACTCTGTTCTGGAAGGTGGGCTGGACAGAGGGGCTTTTTTCCTTGGGTCTTCTAATGATGAGGCTAGAGCCTTTTGGCATGGGTTTTGGGTTCTTTAGCACCCAGGGGAGGGAGTGGCCAAAACGATTATGGGGGGTCCTCTTGTGCTGCCCCAGTCCCGTGTGATGTGGGAGAATGCCCAGCAAAGGCAAGCGGGCAAGCATTCTGCCAGAGCAGTGCTGGCACAGATGAGTGAGTACATGGTCACTCAGGGACCTAGCGAGTGCTGACTCCTGCCAGGCACCGAGACTACAGCTGGGGGTGCCCCCCATCCCACCCTGGTGCACAGGAATCTAATGGGGACTGCGGGAAAGGACCTGCAATCACAGCTCAGTGCTGATTGAGACTCGGGGCCACGGTAGCTATGCAGGTCAGGTATGGCCCCAACTTGGGCGAGAGAAGCCCCGCAAAACTAAGCTGAGGATAGGAGGAGTAGCCTGGCCAGGAGAATCAAAAGTTGTGTCCTAGGATGGCTGGGTGCAGGTGGTGAGGAGCATAAGTAGAAGAGGCCGAGCTGCCGCCAGCAGCAACGGGAGCCACTGAGAGGCCGGGAGCCCAGTGGCTGTGGGCTCGGGGAGGATGCCTGGCACAGGGAGAGCAGTCGGCGAGACAGAGTGGCTGCAGGGAGGCCAGGCTCGAGCTGCCCCAGTGATGTGCACAGGAGCCGATGGGCTACAGGAAGCAGCGGTGAGGTGGATCTGAGGCGCAGGGGACCGACAAGCCGAGGTGGTTAATTAGATTTATGGGGGCGGGAGGGCGCACATTCTTGCTGCTCACCTAGCCCATGCCCTGCGCCTGCACGGGTAGGTGACTAATTGTTTGAACAGGTGGATGGGGGAGTGTGTCCTCTGCAGGTGAGGGGCAGAGAGCAGCGCGGCACGATTAAGACTGCAGCAAACTTCACAGCTTGCAGGTGCTTTTATAAATGTCTGCTGGGTTCCTTCTGACCAAAACTGTCTTCTTGGCTGTCTCAACACTTGAACTTAGGGATGTACGTGGTGTGGGTGGTGAAAGATCCAGGCTTGATACCCACTCCAGGGGTACTTGATACCCAGGTGAGTCCCAGCAGACACAGGACTTGTCTTGATTTTGCCACCCTCGTAGTGAGGATAATGCCAATTTTCAGCCCTGCTGAGGTTCGTAAAGGACCATCTAGCTTGTTCCCAAGGACAAATGTAGGTTCTTGGCAAGAAATTGGTGGAATGTGGCTCCCCAAACTAAAGGCCGGACCCCAGGGATGAGCACTGCTCAGGCTGGAAGCTGGGGACACCCGTGAGAGGCCGAGGAGGGAGTAGATGCGTGGGGTAGGGGAGTGAGCTGCCAGGCAGAGGTCGAAGACAAGCTTCCCAGTGCCACTCTGCTGGGCTGGCTCAGCAGCAGCATTCGATAATCCACAGATGCAAGAGGGAAGCCAGATCAAATCAATGCCATTTTGGACACAAAAATATCGGTGTTGTGATGGTCCCCTCTTAAACTATTCAGCAAAGATCGGGAGACTATTGATTTAGCCATTTGGGTTTTGCTGAGTTTAAGCACAGCTGTAAGATGGACCATTGTCTCTTTAGCTAATGAAAATAACAATGAGGTGCACCTGAGCTGATTCTGTCTACCCGGAGTGTCCCCCTTCATATCCCTAGGGACCAACAGTGCTGGGGTGAGCCTGGGGCACTGACCATCTCCCTTGATGCCCCTGGGGTCAGAGGAGAGATGGACGGGCAGAGGAGCCTGTGCCTGGGCTTGTGGTCAGCACCTGTTGCTTGAGATTTTTTTTTTTCTGGTTACAGAGTTCTGGAATTAGCCTGGCCTGATGTCCACAGCACTGCCCTCCAGCAGGTGGCAGCCTGTGGTTTGTGACATCAGGAAGCCCCTTGCCTTGGCTTCTCTATCCCACCCAACTTCACCGAATCCTCAGAGGGGCAGGATATCCTCAATGCATTCTCTTCTCTGACAAGAGACCCCAGTCCCTGAAAGGACTCAGCCTTCTTATCCACCACTTGACCACCCGAAGAGCATGCTGGTCCCTAACGTGGGGTTCTCTAAAATAGAATTTGTGAGGCATGAGCTGCTCTCAGTATTTTAAAAGCGCCATGGACACTGGTCACCAGCCTCTCTCAGAAACACTAACCCTCTTGGCTTGGGCTGGCTTTACCGGGTCCTCAGTGCAGAGGTGTTGACTGCATCTGGCTGATGGACAGCTGGAACTCCACACCCACTCTCTCTCGGGCATCTCCTTCCGGCCAGGCCACTGGCAGCCTGAGCATTAACTAGAAATGGAGGCAGGAAGGAAAGACAGCGAGGGCTTCCTGGTTACTTGTTTAAAGAAGAAAATAAGGGCTTTGTCCCTGTGTCCCCTGCTCCTGGCCAGTAGCCTCTATTTTTCACTGTGGGGAGTGAGTGGGGACTTGGGACAACCCAGCCCTTGGGGCTGCTGGGAAGGGGTAGCAGCTGACAGACCACCCAGCAGGCACCAAGATGACTTGCGTTGCTTAGCACTCTCCAGAGCCTGCCTGCCTGCCTGCAAGCACCCTTGCTGGCTGCCAGGCCACATAGGCAGCAGTGAGGCCACCAGCACTGCTGCTGCCTTGCAGGCAGGAAAGGTGTGGATGGTGCTGGTCCCTCCTTGGCGTGCGGTGCCCTTTGGCATGCACGCGCACGCACGGTGGTGGTGCAGGTGAGCAGATGTCCGTGTCTCCCGGAGAGCAGGCTGGGTCAGCAGAGTGCCCAGCATGGCGGGTCCCTGCCGGGCGACTTCCTCATGGGATCAGTCTGCCGACACAGCCATTGGCCAGGACCCCTTGGAATTCATACAGGCAAGGGTTCTGCTCCCAGCTGCCCCCGGACCACACCCTCCCGGGTGTCTGTCTTGGGGTTCCCTAGAGCCCAGCTTACCCGGGTAGTAGTCTCTGGTTCCAAGCAGACCCCACGAAATTTTCTAGAAGGAACAGTGAATCAAAGAGCAGTGTTTTTCATCATGAAAGACAAAGTGTTTGGCTCCCTTTAGCTCTGAACTGGAGAGCTGGTACCCTAAGCAGAGACTCATCTGTGTGCATTGAAAAGGTTTTCAACTTGGACGTGGGGATGAGGACCAAGTCGCTGGTACCAGGTGGAGAAATACCAGCAGATACACAGGAGGGCTGGGGTCCAGCAGCAGCAGGGAAGTGAGTCCAGCCTCACGCCCATGCCTCACCACCTCGTGCATCTGTTGCAGCCAGTGGGGAGGGGAGCGGCAGCAGGGAAAAGTGGTGCGCACGCTCATCAGTGGCCGAGCCCTGAAGAGGGTGAAGCACTGACTGAGAAGGCAGGAAGCTGGGAGTGGGGCCCAAGGCGAGCACCCTTGTTTGAGCCTGGCTTTGCCCAATGCCAGCCGTGAGCAGATCTCTCTTCAGCCAAGTAGGTGTCGAGAGCAGATGGAGGGGGGGAACAGGACCCTAATGAATGTGGCCTCAGGTTTACTAATAGGGGAGCCGTGATCGCACACCCTCGAGGCCTCAGCAGGCTCGCAGTGCCTTTGGGGAAACCACGACCTAAGATTTCCTTGCAGAGGAGCAAAACGCAGATCTGCGGAAAGTAGTCCCAGATACAAGCCCTTTATTACCACGCCCTCAGCACTCCAGGCTTACACAGATCAGCAAGGACGCGCCGGTTTGCAGTGAGCAGAGATTCCCTACATGCAGTACGGAAGGCAACTTCTCCACTCCTGCTACATGTGATGACCCGGTCCAGGGCCAGTCGGTTCCAGGGCCCAGGTGGCCTCCTGCCCGTTGGGCTGCCTGGCGTTTGTAGTGGCACCCTGCGAGGTGTGCGTGTGTGTGTGGGGGGGAGGGGCGAGTACGGCAGGCGCATGCGCAGGAGGGAGGGCTCTATGTATACGGCTGGGCATTGTGCTGAAATAGACATGGGAATGAAAAGGACGCACAAGGGTTGATTAAGGCACACAGACGGTGGGCAGAGGAGGAGGACCCAGGCAGCCAGTCCACCGGCAAAATCACCGCCTGCCAGGGCGGGGGCTGTAGGAACGCACAGGAGGCTGAGGTGAGCTTCCTCCTACCCCCAACAGCGCGGCGACAGTGGGAACAGCCTCAAGCTGCTGTGAGCAGAAGCCAAGCCAGACAGCCTGGGAGACTTGGCCCCTGAGGTTGTGACATCTGAGGGAACGTGGCAATGACTCCTTGTGGTGTGGTCCAAAGCAGTGGACCTCAAAGTGGTTGCAGGGCCAGCAGCGCCAGCACCCTTGGGAACTGTTATTCGCCATCTCTCGGGAAAAGCCCCTAAGTGATTGCCAGGTACCAGCAAATTAGAGAACTGCTTGTCTGGACACTGATCGGTACTATCCTCGGCCGACGTGAGCGCCGCCAAGCGGCCACACCGAGTACTGCTGTCCCTGCCCGGTCTCTCCCAGGCGTAGGCAGGGCTTGCAAGGCTGGGTAGTGCGGTAGGTGCTGAAGGTAACCGTTCCAATTCACTCTCCCTACTCAGAACCTCGAGGGAGACGCAGAGCGACACCCTCCAGGACCAGATCCCAGGGCCCAACAACAGTGTGTGTGTGGCAAGAGGCAGGCAGAAAAAGTCTATCTGAAGGCATGGCACCCACACCACCACGCAGGGCACCTTCTCTAGCCAGGCCACTATCTGCTCTAACCCTGTCAGGGCAGACGGTGCCCAGGGCAGGACTCTGCTAAGCCAGTCCCGTCACGCCGGCTCACCCAACCTGTGGGCCCAGGGCTGGGGAATCAGGTGTTCCTCCCCCACCTTGGTGACAGGGACCGGCTGTGCGAGTGGTGCCTGCTCGCTCCGTCAGCTCCGTCCCCCATGTCCCAGAGAAGGCAGGGAGACCCCTTGGGCAATCATGCAAGGCTTAGCATCTCCCTGTCCACCGCTACCTCCCTCGGGGCTTCTGTGGGCAGAGCCCGGATCCAGCCAGGCATCTCTCCTCCGCAGGTGTGGAGTTGTGATTCTGGACAATCTGCTGGGATCCCCAGAAGTCAGAGATGATCAAGTTCCACCATTTCCTGGCTGTGGTACGGAACGGGGCTGCTGGGGAAGCCCGTCTACTTTTGAATGAATTTTCCTCGGCAACCCCCAGACTTCTATAGGCAGATGGGAAAAGCCAGCCCAGGCTCCAGGGAGCCCCCGGAGGGCCCCTCCGTTCTCACGGCTCTTCCCGCCGTGGAGACGCAGCTTAGGTGACGGCAGCGAGTGTGGGCGAGGACACCTTCCCTAGGACTGAGCCTGGGCATCAGAGCTGGGCTCGCCAGGCACGACCAGGTCAGGCGGGGCGAGGTGTGACCTCCCGTGGCCTTACCTCAGCGTGGCACGGTGTCGCCGTCCATGTGGGAGGGTAAAATCATCCCCACCACGGGGAGAAGTGCAGGACGAGGGAAAGATGGAAGCCAGGAGTGGGGGTCTTGTGTTAGGACCTGCCACAAAACAGTCCCTCAGAGGGGCCCCAGGCTATGTTCCGAGTTGACACCTTCTCTACCCCTATTCTCCAGTGTCTTCTTTCTGTCCTCCCTTAGCGTCTGGGAGGGGTCTTCCAGAACATTCCCTGCTCCCCTCAGTGACAAAAGAGAACCAAAGAAAGGGACGGCGTCCACTCTGGGACAGTAGAAAAGTAGAGCAGGGATCTTAGGAGCAGCATGGTCACATGGTTAGGGAGAGGGTGTCCAGGAAAAGTGGGGTGCTGGGAGCCCTCCACCCAAAGCTCCTCCTTCTCAGGGTCCCTTCTCTGACTTTGCAGGCTGGGGTTTGGTCCCCTTGGGGAGGAGTTTTACATCTAGGAACATGTATAGCCCGGCAATCCTGAGAATCTGGCTTGGACCAGGTGATCCTTAGGGGAAGGGATAGGCGGGGGCTCAGGCCATGTCTCGGGGGCGATGTGCAGGGCTCTGTCCCTGGTGTGGCACCTGCTGCTGTGGTAACTTGGCCCGGGCCCCTGCCTGGTGGCTCAGCCATCACTGGCATGGAGGCCTCTCAGGAGAACCCAGCGGGCAGGCCACTACTCTCCAGTGAGAGGGCGTGGGCAAGTCCAAGGGCTCGCTTGTACCCACCCTCCCTGCCCTACCATGGTGCTACTGTAGGGGGAGAGCAGATGGGGGCCGATCCCTGGCCAGTGCAGGGGTTCCACAGGGACCCTGTTTTCAGCCCTGCGTTCCGGTTCCAGTGCCGGGAGGAGGCCAAGAGCCCAGCCCTCACCCTTCCGTCGTCCAGGGTACCCACCCTGGGGGAAGAGTCTGGCTGTCTCCTGGCAGAGTCATCTCTGCCCCGGGCTTGGGCAGCGAGTACGAAGAATGAGGAGGTTCCTGCTGGATAAGGCACTTGGGTTCGCAGGAGGAGTCCGTGACCCCGGTTGGGCTGGGGCTGAGTCTGCAGGCCTGGTGCACACGTGGCCTGGGATGTGGGCCTGGTCCGGGTGAGCACGGTCGGAAAGGGACAGAGTTGGCCTTTAATAAAAATGCCGCTGGAGCCTCTGGTGCAAGCAGCAGGTGAGAATCATCCCACAGATCTGCAGGTGGAGAAGATAAGTGAGTGAAATCAGAACCCTCAGGCAGCTGGCTGCACGTGCTGGACAGGCTGCCGGGGCCTCCTGCTCAGAGGGGTGGGGCGTGCATCCCTTCCCTGCTCTGTGCTGGTGCGAGGTGGGGGTCACACCCTGGGCTCTGCTGTCCAGGGCATGGTTTTCACCTAAAGGCACGGATCCCCCGGGGCCTTGCTACTCAGGACCCTGCAGTCCTGAAGGCCCAGGTGGGGGCTGGGGATCTGCATTTTCCACGAGCTCCCCACTGAGGCTACAGAGCTGCAGTCCCAGATCTTCTCTGACATCGCCCGGGTTAACAGACTCCCGGACGGTGGTATTTCCGCTCTGCCAGCAGGGGCGTCTGAAGCACCTTTCTCTAGAATGAATCTGCCTGCATCCTGCTGCCCTCAGACCCCAGAGCAAAACTAAGGTCCAGGTTTGCTGCCCTGGCTGATGTTCAGAAGCCACTGTGGAAGTGGACACAGGGCAAGCCTCTGGGGCATCTGGTCGCCAGCGTGTGCTGTGAACAGCCTGGGATGCAGACACGGGCCCTCGGAGACCTGTGAGAGCCCTGCCCTCAAATCCAGCAGCTACGTACAAGGGGCCCCTGCAATGCGCTGGGAACAATCACTTCCTGTCCGGTTCTCGGCTTCCCATTTGTTCTCTCTGCCCACTCTGCATGGCCCTTCCCCCTCCTCCCCTTCCTCTCCTCCCTCCCACCCAGGGATGCACGGGACACGGGGGTGGGGATGTGACCAAAGAGCTCCCCGGCGGACACCAGATTCTGTGATGACACGGACATGCTAGACCTCCGCTCAGCAGCCCTGTGATGTCTCATGGCACAGGGGCGAAGGCAGACTTCCCTGAAAGCGGGGAGAATGTCCTGACTTCTCCCATGGGCCAGACGTTGGCAGCATGAGCCCGGTGCCCATGGCTCCAGCCAGAGAGGGGCCAGGCTAGCGGGTGTGCGCGGCCAGGAGGTGGCTGCTTGGTCCTCCAGGGCTGGCCCGAGGCGGTGCCCGAGCACGGCCCATCTTTTCCTCCCCAGCCCCTCTCCACGTCAGGCGATGTGGAGCACAGCAGGGACGGCTGCTTTCAACTCAGCCTCTGTGCTAGGAGGAGTGCTGTCGTGGATTGACAGCTGGTGGTCAGCTTATAACCCCCAGCTAAACTGAGTAAACGTGCTGCTGGGGGTGGGAGGCCCACCTGGGGATTGCGGCCAGCAGCATCAGAGGCTAGGCTGTTGGGAGCAAAGGAAAAGGCTTTTGGGAACTAAAGAGGCTGTTGGGAGCTGGTAGAAGCTATAAGGAGCTGTTGTTTGTTTTGGAGGAGCTCGTCATGCTGGCTTTCCTGACGAGCTTAGCTGTTTTCATCCTCCGAGGAGCTCGGGACCTCATTGGCACTCTGGCTTCGGTTCACTTTGGGGGAGCTCTGGTCCTCACCTTGAGCACCACTTCCTGGCTCCGGAGGGGACAATGGTGCACTGCCAGTCTCCTGGAGAAGCTTGCTGCACTGGCTTCCCTGATGGGAACTCAGTCTTCACCATCGGAGGGGCTCGGGACCTCACTGTTGCTGAGGATGGCTGTGGTACATTTCAGGGAGCTCTGGTTCTTACTTTGCGCATCATTTCCTGGCTCCAGTGCAGATCCCTCAGCCCGCTAGCACAGATCCTTCATCCCGCTGGCACAGACTTCCTAGATTCCACCACTGATCCTTGGGCCTTCCCAGCTCAGATCTGTGAAATAGGTCTGCATGAGATGTTGTCGTGGGCTCTGGGCCTCCAGTTGGACTCATGGGAGGCATTGTTATGGGCTCCAGGTCGTCCGCTGGACTCACGCAGGACATTATCACAGGATCCAGGCCCTCAGCTGGATTCCTGGTCTATAGTGTGTGGACAGATTTCCTGCACTCTTTCATATGATTCTTTGGGTGACTATTATAAATAATCTCATAAAATATGTGTCCTGTATTATATTGTTCCCCCTTGCAATATTCCCCAAACCAACACAAGCGCTAATCCATCGGGGACTTGGGCCACAGCCCCCTGGCGGTGTAGAGGATCTCGTCTCCGCCGACTTTCAGCAGGTGGTTGTCAGTCGTCCCACCCAGGGCTCGCGCAGCACACCCTGACCCCACTTTACGCCCTGATGACTCTCCTGGAAAGGCTGCTGGGCTTGGAGACACACTGTAGGCTGTGTCCACATCTCCAGAGAGCACCGCAGCCAGGCGGCCTCCACACGCTTGGATGGGCTGTCTTCCCAGGGCCTCTGAGGAAAGCACAGTAAGGACGGAGCCGCGTGGGCACTCCCCTCCATGTGTGCCCATGCGTGTGCACAAATGCTGAACACAGGCCCCGCCTTGAGTCATGCAGAGGGCTAAGGGACACTTACCCACACATGGGCATGGAACACACACGCACACTCCACGCTGCATCAGGCGGAGGGCTAAGATACGGGCTCATCCGTGTGTGTGCACACGAATACACACGAACACATGCACATACTTCTCGTGCTGAACCATGCAGGGGGTAAAGGACACTTCCACCCACGTGTGCACACATACACACACCCCTGCCCTGAAGCTGTGCCAAGGGTAAAGGACACTGACCCTTGGACCTCAGGGGAGCATCAGCGGGTTCCCCCGGCCCCCGGCAGAGGACCCTGGGAAGCCAGCATAGGCGGTCCAAGCAGCCAGGAGGGGTGCACAGGGACAACACAGGACAGGTCCACTGTGGCCACTGGACAGGCAGAGGCGGGCGGGCCGGGCAGCTTGGCTCTCCCAGGAAGCTGGCTGGCACAGTAACAGGGGCCGAGCGCTCCGCTCCTCGATGTTTCTCCTCTGCTCCTGGCTGACCTCAGGCGGCCCAAGGAGAGGGCCGGGCAGTTCCTGGGCGCTATTCCCAAACGGCCCTCCTGTGTCCCTGAGAGTGACCCGCAGACCCCATGTGAAAGACTGTCTTGTGAGTCTGGGCTTGGAGCCCTGCTTGCACCCTGCGGCAGGGGACGTAGTGTGATGAGCTCCGTTCTAGTACACGTGGGTGGCAGGGGGCTCGATGACCCCCGGCGGGGGAGTTACACCCCTCTCCCAGCCTCACATCTCCCTCCATCACAGAAACCTCCAGCATCTTCCCTGGCCCAGAGCCTGGCCTGGGGAGACATCCTAACGAGGAAGGCCCTTCCCCTCTTGCACCCTGAGTGGGGCTGGCGGAGTCCAGGCCCCGGGGTCCTTCAGTGGAGCCCCCGCTCCCCACCGGCCAGGCCTGTGCCCTTGCGGCCCCTCCCCCCAGCTTGCCTCCTTCTGTCACTTCCTGTCGGACTCCTTCAGGACCCACACGCTTCACTTCCTCCCGGAAGCCCTCCCCGACCCCTGCAGCTGGCTGGGGCCTTCTACAGTTGCTCCTGCAAACCCTACTGTGTGTGCTAACCCTGCGCCTTGGGCTGTGCGGTGGCTGGCAGGGGCTGCCCCGACCTGCTGCCGTGCCCAGCGCAGACGCAGCGCCTGGCACACAGCAGGGCCAGCCTCAAAGCCGACGCAGAGCCCCTCTGCACTTCCAGTGGGTGCCGGGGTCCTTTGTGTGTGCGGAGGACAGCAGGAAAAGACAGCTGGGCTACTGTAATCTTTTCAGTAAACAGTTTCCCAGCCAGAATGTTGTAGAAGTCTCGCCCTCAAGTTCCCTAAACAGACCTCCCGGAAGTTCCTGACAGTGCCTGCAGAGTCCGCCTCAAAACGGGGACCTGGGGGAAGAGTCCCGGGGGTCAGCAGTCCGGCTGGCTCTCCCTTGGGGCTGTGTGACCTTCGGATTTTCATCCTCCTTCACCAGGGAAGCTTACAAAACACCCCACACCACTGCAGTTAGAAGCCGAGGGGCCCTTTCATCAGCGTGGGGTTGTGTTTGGCTGAATGAAGGGAACGACAAACAATGCCGTCCTAATGACCCTCCATGGCTAAGCGTAGGAGGTCGCAGTGCCCACGGCGCCGGGTCATCCACACCGGAGTCAGCGGCATCTGACCCTTCAAATACTGGGCACCTGAGTTACCAAGGTTTCCTCTTCTTCCTTTCTCCCTGTGCCCTTCTGTCTGTCCGGCTGCTACCGTCCCACGATCTTCAGTAAACGTAGCTGCTTTCTTACTACGAGGTGTCCACGCGACAGTTCCTTCCTCGTCCTGCACAAGAACCCGCACTATTTTCGGCTTATTCCACTTTAACACACTGGCCTCGGGCCAGGCAGGCAGGGAGAATCTGGGGAACCCGGGCCTCCGCAATGGTATTTTAAAGATCGGATTTTCGTGGGCGGCTAGGGGTGACCTCGATGGCCGGGTTGGGGGGCGGTCCACGAATAGGGGGGTGATCCACTTCGTCCACGCCCCGGTGCAGGCTGCAGAGGAGGTTGGAGGAGGCCAGGCGCCCTGCGGCAGGAAAAGCCAGGCTCCCTGAGGCACCACCTCAGGCTGGGGGCCTCTCGTGTAGCAGCCTCCGCGAGGGCCACTCCAGGCTCTGCCCTTGTGACAGCGGTCTCCGGTCTGTCCCTGTTGCCCTGTCTTCCAGAAGCCCCCGAGGATAAGTCCCCTCTGCCCCTGTCCCACAGGACTGCCGGGGGCACCGAGTCCGGGGGCAGCAAGAGGAGGTGCCTGGGCGCGGGGCGGGCGTCTTCCCACATTCGGAGGGCGCCGAGCTCCCCGGGACGGGGGCCGGCTCAAGTCCCCAGCGCGGTCCGCCGCAGCAGCCGGGCTCCGGCCGCCGCGCCGCAGCTCCACCCCACGTGCTCCAGGGCCTGCGCGCCCCTGTGAGCTCTCAACGGAGGAGCAGATGCTGTTGCTCTACGAAAGGCTTAATTCCCTCCCGTCTCCTTTTAAAAAGAGGAGCCGAGGGGAAAATGGAACTGGAGCTTTCACAAACACCATGCACCGCGCTGGAGCGGTGGCGGCGGGGGCGGGGTGTGCGCTCTGCGCATGTGCGGGCTCCCCGACTAGCGCAGGCGTAAGTGCCGCGACCATGCACTAAGATAATTAAGCAAACGCTGAAAACACTAAAAACGGCTAAAAACCACCCCGCCCCTCTGTTCTACAGGTGAGAAGACACAGGGGAAGTGGGGCCTCCCCGCCGTCCCCCAAGGGCAAAGCTGGCATCCAGGCCCTCCTTCTGCCAAGCGAGGCTTCCTCCTGGTCCCGGGGGCGGGAACGTCAGCCTGGTCTCCGAGGTCCGCGGGCGGTGCCGGCAGAGGGCGCTCTAAGCCAGGCCTGGCCGCTGCGGGCCTGCCGGGGAGAGCACCGCAAATCCGCAGCTGCGGCCCGGGGACGCGCGGTCTCGGGCCCGCCGTGCGGGGTGGATGTGTCCCGCAGGTCCGCTGCCGTGACCTGGGCTCCGATGTCAGACTCACGCAGCTGGCCTGTGCCACCCTGACCCTGGGCTCAGGGCGCTCGGAACCCTGCTCCCTGCCCGGGGTGCACGACCTTTGCTGTTGCTTCTGCAGACAGAGGGGCCGGAGGGAAACGGACGGAACAGACCAGGCCTGGTCCAGAGAACGGGTTTCTGCCCCTCAGCCGAGCCAGGCGCTGGAGGCGGGGCAGGGGCGGGAGGAGCCGCGCTGAGCCTCCCGGGCTCTGGCGTGCAGGCGCGGGCGCCCGTGGGGGGCAGGTGTCTCCAGCGGGGAGCAGCTGGGGGCTGTCCCGCAGGGCGCTGCCCAGGGAGAAAGTGAGAATGATGCGTCCCTGAGCGCACTCCTGCTCCCTGCTTGGCCTTTGCACACGCGGGGAGCGAGGTGTAGTGAGCCCCTTTGCGAGTGAGCAGCTGGGGCTCAGCGATGAAACCGCCGGCCGAGGCCACAGCGCTCACCGCGGGCAGGACCGAGGCGGGTCGCCCTCCGGGGGCCGGGCGTGCCCTTCCCAGACCCTCGGGCCTTAGGCTCATGTGGGTGGAGCCGCAGGGTCTGCAGAGACCTCTGCCCTGGAGTCTGTCCACGCCGGGGAGCACTGCCGCCCTGGTGCCTCTTTGCCACAGGCCTCTGTGTGGGAAACAAAGGCCCACAGCGCGGGCACCCAGGTGGCGACCCCGGATGAGTCCTCTCTGGCTCCCAGCTTTCTGCTCTGTGAAAGGGGGCAGCAGGCCTCCCCAGCTGGCCCGGGTCTCCTGTCCCCAGGCTCGTATGAACAGCAGCCTCTGAAATACTCCGCAGTCCACAGACAGCCCGAGGCAGTTCCTCCTGACGGTGGCTTTCACACGGGCCCACAGCAGGGCACGTTCTTACGTAGGTGTTCTGAGGTTGGGGAAATGACCCGCTTCTTGCAGACGAGGAAGTAGAAGGACAGGGGCGAGACGTAACTGCGCAGGGCCACACAGCACAGCTAGCACCGGGCTCGGGTGTCTTGCAAAGTCCCTGCCCTCCCCGTAGCTGCTTATAGCACCGGAGGGAGGGGCGCCGGAAGGCTGCAAGAGGCTGCGCTGTGGCGCCTGCGGGGCTCCCCCTGCTGTGTCTAGCCCCGCATAGGTCCCGCCCAGCTCCCAGGAGGGTGGTACTTCCAGGATGGCGGCTGGGGAGGGGTGTGAGGGAAGAAACAGGAGCCAGGGCACTGCTCATGCGCAAGAATACACGCACAAACACTCACACACGTGCCCACACACCCTACACGCACTCCCCCCCCCCAGCACACATACATGCCTTCAGTAACCCAGTTAGACCCAGGAGCATGCAGCCAGGGCTCCGCAGATACCGCCACCCGGGCTGTGCACACCAATACCCCTGCACACGTACGGGGTGCACGCTCACACCTGCGCCCACGTTCACACTCCCCCTAGGCCCCTGATCCTCACAGTTCAAGCTGCCCCGTGTTCTCTGGGGAGAGACTGACCGCAGGGTCCCGCCAGAGTTGCACAGGGAAGGAACGGGAAGAGGGCGGGGCCGCACGACCTCCGTTGCTGTGAGAGAGGTCACAGGGCCTTCCCCACGCCCTTGTGCTGTGCCTCGACCTACTCACCTGCAGGCAGGCCACCCCGATGCCCACTGCCCCCATGAGCAGCAGGTGGTCAGCCAGGAACTGCTCCAGCTTGGTGATGCAGCCGCCCTGGAAGAGAGCGGTGGGTCACGGGCGCCTTGGCCAGGAGCGGCTAAGAGGGGGGAAGACTGGGGTCCTGCTGAGGCCTGAGGAGGCCAGGGATGGAGGGGCCTATACCCCGCCTTTGAACTGCTGCCAGGCTCCTTGGGGGCCCCCGGGGATGCCATGGTCCCTGGGAACCTCTCAGGGAGCCTCTCATCCCCCTGCTCTGAAGAGACCCTCTGAGGCCCTGGGCACTGTGTGTCGGTTTCCTACCCTGCCCACCTGGCCCAGCCCCCATGGGAGCCCAGGCACGCACCTCCACCTTGTAGATGTTGGAGGGGTGCACCCGCTGGCCACAGCGTGCCACCACCGTCTTGCAGCAGCTGTCGGGCACCCGGCGGCCCTGGGCCTCCTGGGACCGGATGTAGGTGCTGTGCTGCCAGTCCGCTGAGCTGTTGCTCCCACAGCACTTGAACTGGATGGAGAGGAGGCAGCTGGAGGTGAGAGGCCTGCTCGGGCCCTTCCCGGGATGCAGGGCACGGTATTCACCCTTTCCTTCCCTGCTGTGAGCACCCTTATCCACAGCCAGGACACCCACGCACAGCCTTGAACGGCCACCCACGTCCTCTGAGGAGGTCAGGACAGCAGTCTAGCGACAGGGAGGGCCTGTGAGATGGGCTGGTACATGGATGCTGGGCTCCTGCCAGAGCGGGGCCGTGGGCCTCTGGTTGTGCAGAGCCTGGGCCCCAGGCGGGACAGACACACAAGGGGAATGTCTCCCGGCCATCCAGGAGGCAGGACCTGGGGACAAGGACCCAGGCTTGCCGGAGGTCCCAGGTGTCCAGCTGGGCACTGAAGCCTCAGAGCCCCCACACTGTAGGGGCGCCAGGAGTGCCCCAGAGCCCCGCCTGCGCAGGCAGGTCAGCATGGGGCCCAGGGGCTGCTGTGAGTGTCGGCAGCACCCCAGGCAGGTGGGGAAACACCCGAGTGGACCCAGGCCACCGCTTGCCCTTGCATGCAGAGGCACTGAGGTCTGAGTCTGCACACAGTCGGGGACCTACTGTGTGCCGAGGGAGGCTGGGGCAGGGCTCAAACGGGGGTAGCTGTCCTGCCTTCAAGCAGCTCATCCCTTACTGTTGTGTAGGAGGAGAGGGGACGGAAACCTGAGGGTGGCCAGGAGTAGGAAGGGCCAGGAGTGGGCCGGGCGGGCACAGGGCCCCAGGCGCCCAGGCAGAACATAAACAGGAGCTCGCAGGCAGAGCGAGGAGCAGCAGGCGCCCCCAGGGTGCTCCTCTTCGGGCCGCTTGTAAAATGAGGACAACAGCTCCCCAACAACCCTCCGAGGTCTGGGGGTCCCGCGTCTACGCTCAGGCTGCTGGCCCCTGCTCTCCCCTCTGCGCCTTGGACCCCGCTTCCTGAAGGAGGAGGAAGCAGCCCTCAGACAGAAGGAGCCGAGATGAGCTCTCCTTCCCGCAAGCCCAGCTTCCTGCCCTGGGAGACCACAGCAGCCAGCGGGGGAAGGAGGGGTGGGAGGCGGCGGCTGGGCAGCCGCAGTGGGAGTGAGGCGGAGGGAGATGAAGCGAGGCGACCAGGCTTCCGGGAAGTCTTTCTGGTGACGGGACATCTAAGACGCCATCGCAGTTACTGCTGTCAGAGGCCCACGTTAGGGTGCAGTGAAAGCTCAGAGAGGGTAAGGAGCTCGCCCGGAGCCACGCGGATGGGAAGGGGAAGGGACCGAGCCTGCGGTGGCTTACGTCCTGCTGCAGACGGTCCATGGAGGCGGTGATCTCTGCGGCCCTCGGCTGCCCGTAATTCTCCGCCAGGGTGCGGTTCAGGTGCTGCTTCAGTTCGTCACTGAGCTGTGGAGGGAGGAGCAAACGTGGGAGCCCTGCCCCCTCCCCTCCAGGTCTGCAGGACCCCTTGGTCTGTGACGCTCTGTGACGGCGGGGGGTCCCAGGTGTGCCAGGAGGCAGTGGGGACGAGGGCCAAGGTGTCCTGGGCACAGCCACAAGGGGCTGGGGAGGGGACAGCTCACACTTCATGGGCCGTGGGCCGGCCACAGGCTGCTTTGTATAGCTGTGGATTTGCACTTTGCTTATGAAGTGATACTCATAATATGGACAGTGGTGGCCCCTTGGGGACCAAAGGGACACCGGCTCCCTGCAGTTATACCATCTCCACCAGCCCAGCATCACCTTGCACATGACCTCACGTCCCCGATTCAGAAGCCCTGGGGTGGGAGGGAACCAGGCCGGTCACCTCTTCCTCCTCCAGCCCAGGCGGGCGAAAGCTGAGCCTGTCTTTCCAGCCTGGTGTTTCTCCCTGGCCCACGCCTCCCCTCAGATGCTGTGACCGACAGCTTTGTCCTCTACCTGTCCTTGGGAGGGACAAGAATGGCCCCAACTCCATGGGAAGGGCCCCGACTCCCGCGTGGACACCTCAGCCGCCGGATGTAGCAGAGCTACTGGCGCCCTGAGGGGAAGCTGGCAGAGCACTGTCAGTCCCTCGAGATGGGACCACCCTGCTTCGGCCTCCCCCTCCCCTGCCACCCAGAGCCCCGGCCCCTTCCACTCACCCGCTGGTAGTACACGTGGGCCAGGACCCCCGCCACCAGCTCCACGAGGAAAATGACAAACAACAGGCAGAAGTACTAGGAGCAAGGAGAGGAGAGAATCACCACCAGGGATTAGGGTGATGAAGATTTGCCCAAGGAGAGGGTGGGACCTGCCGGTGACCCCTCACTCCTGCCATCCTCCTCATACCCCTGCCAGCTTCCTCTGGACCAGCAGCCTCTGCCAGCAGCCGGCACGGACTGTCCACGCCCTTGCTCATGGGTCTGCTGGCTCCAGTCACCCATGTACTGCTCGGCGTGTACTGAGCTTGCTGGACGCCGGATGCCAGGCGCTGGCACCGTAACCAAGACGACCTTTGCCCTCAGTCACTGCAGGTGGGGGACAGATGCGTAAGTGACCACAGCGCTGTTATAAGTGCAGCTACTGGTCAAGACCTAGGGGGATGTGAGGCGGGGGGAGGGCAGGTGCGGAGCCTGGAGTCTGCAGAAAGTGTGGAGTGTTGGGCTCAGAGTGGGTGACTGGGGCTGCTTCCGGCTCAGGAGGAAGCAGAGGCCGAGGTCCGGGCACGTGACCCGTGTGCTGTCTTCCAGCTGGGTGCCCACCTTGCATCTTTCCCGGCCCCCCGGGGCTGTCCTACTGCTGCTCACCATACCCGCCCCCCCGCCCCCCCCACGGGTCAGGCTGCTCTTAGCTGAAGCCTGTGGCAGCTGCCAGCTTCCAGGCCCTGTCCCCTCCCACGGGCCTCTGCACCGGCAGTGAGGCTGCTGGATGCTGCTAGGCCCCTTGGAGGAGCCAGCAGGTCAGACCCTCAGGGATGGGGAGGAGACAGGGAGCAGTGACGAGCAGGGCGGAAGTGGGGAGAGGAAAGAGGAGGGCCACACATGAGCACCTGTCCCCAGACTTCCCAGGGCACTGCCCCCCACTGGCCACATGAGGGACCGGGCTCATGGTCCCAGGGATTATGGCCCAGGCTGTGGGTGAGAGCGGGGCCTCCAGGCCCTGCAGCAGGCGAGGAATTGGGCAGGGGGAGGAGGCAGCTGTCAGGTGCCCGGGAGGCGGGTGGGGATGGTTGGCCTCTGCAGGGGCAGCACTAACCCACGAGCTGAGGCCCTTCCTGGCCTCCTGGTGGATGCTCGGCCAGGGCATGGCACAGCAGGGCTGCAGGAACACCCGAAGGGGATGTTTCTTTTCTTGGGGAAAGAACTGAAGAGCAAAGCTACCTTTCGGATGAAGTCAACACCCCTCCTCCCCCACAGCAATTGTATTCCAGCTTTGGAGCGGCACTGCAGGTCAGGCTCAGTCCCTGAGGAGGGTGCTACCGTCTGGGTCTGAAATGGCCCCAGAGGCTCATGGATTGAGAGCTTGCTCCCAGGGCAGCAGTGTTCAGAGTGACTGGATCCCGTGAGTTTGGGTCATCAGTGGATCATCCACTGATGGACCCATCATTGTGTGGCATCTTGGGAAGTGGTGGAAACTAGGAGGTGGGCCTTGCTGCAGGACGGGGCGTGCCCTAAAGCATCTCTGTCCCTGGCCTGTGTCCCTCCCCACCTTCCTGACTGCTATGAATTGAGCAGCTTCCCTCTGCCACACTCTTCTGCCCAATTTTTTCCTCAGCACCTGTTGAAAACAATGGGGCCGGCTGACCAGGGACTGAAGCCCCTGAAGCCATAAGCCAAAGAGACCTTTCCTTCAAGCTGCCACCCTTGGGTACTGTGCTACAGCGTCAGGAAGCTAACACACGTGGGGGCGGGCCTGCCGTATCACCCAGGGGGCTGCGGTGAACAGGACAAAGGGAGGTCCCTGGCCCCCTTTCCCTCCCTACTCAGGGCCTACACTGCCCCAGGAGAGGCTTTAGCCTGTGAGTACAAGCTCTGTTCACCCCTCCCCAGGGTCAGGCATCTTTTGGCTAAGACAGCAGAGAGGGCTGGGGCCCCAGCCCAGCAGTCCCACACCAGCGGCAGGACACCGGTGGGCTCTGTGTGGAGGTCTGGGCCCTCTGGATAGAGGATGAAGGCCCTGGGTGCCAGGAATGGGGTCTGGGGTAGGAGGAGAAGTTCTAACTTTTTGGCCTTTTGGACTCTTCCCCCACCTGCCTGGGTCTGGGGATGGTCCTCAGTGGACCCACAGGAAGCTGGGGCGGGAGCCCCACAAAACGGTGCATGGCGTGTCTCACTCCACTCTCAGGGGTGGGGCTGAAGGCGCAGGAGGGCTGGGGTGATGCCAGCCAATGGCTGCTGGCTTTGGTCGGGTGGCCACTGCATTTCTAAATTAGAAATGTGGAAGGGTAACAGGTCGAGCAAGGGCTGCACAGGTTGAACTTGGGCCTCTCTGGCTCCTGTGTGTCAGACACAGGCTGGCGGGCAGTGACCCCACCTGTGGGACAGGCCTTCCTTTCCTGGACGGTGGTGGTGGCATTGCCTGCCCTGTCTACTCCCGTGGCAGGAGATCTTGCTTCACAGCGTTCTGCCTCCTTCCTCCAGAGCTTGGGCCAGGGTTGGGAGGGGAGCAGCCCTCGGGAGCCAGAGGCAGGCACCATCGGCCAGGCTGGTACACAGCCCTCCTGGAGCTGCCCCGCTGGACAGAGGATGGCTACCCTGTAGCCCACTCGGGCTGCCCTCACTGTGTCACACTCCCGAGGCTCTGGGAGATGCTGGGCCCAAAGCTGCTCTCACCACCTCCCCCGCTCTGGCCCTGAGACGCCCTGGTCCTGCCACACAGGCCTCCCCGGTCCCCCTGGCTGTGGCCCAGGTGCCCCCCTAGGTGTGAGATAGAGGAAGAGATGATGGGATGCCCATGGCTGTCCGGGACGACCTGGCCGAGGCAGCTCCTTGCCCTGTCTTCCCTTTTCCGCCAGGCCATCAGCTCCGAGTCACACGCGGATGCTAGTCTCGAGATGCGTCTTGCGGCTCCCCTGGGGCCGGCACTGCTACACTTGTGACTGCACAGGCGAAGGAGACGGGAAACGGCATCTGATGTCACAGCAGGCTAGGTGAGTTCACGCAGCCCCCCGGGCACTGGTTCGGGGGCATCCAACGGGCTGTGCGGCCCAGCAGGGTTGTCGGTGGGTGGGTTGTGCCGCTGCTGCGCAGGACTGTCCTCCGAGTAGCACGGAGCCCGGCCTGTGAAGATGGGCCGGGCTGGGTGTGGAGGGAGTCTAGCAGTTCTAGCAGTTCCTGAGGCAGGAGGGCTGCAGTGTATGACTCACCTGGGGGGAGGCGCTGAGTCACAGTTCAAGGGGTGACAGCTCCTGGGAGGCGGGCTGAGAGCTGTGCTCATGGGGTCCCCCAGGTTGGAGGGTGCTGGCAGCCCTGGCCGCGGGGCAGCTGCTGCCGTTCCTGGTGATGCTGTTTTTACCCACATGTGGCCATAGGCTCTAACCAACGCTCCACTCTGCCCTTTCACCCTCCCTTACCCGGGGACCAGCAAAACCATCCTGGGGCTCCTGTGGCACAGCTTCTGCCCCTGCGAATCTGAGGTGCACTGTTTGCAGTCCTTATCCAGTTCCTTCATCCGGGACAGGGTGTCCAGCCTGTCGTACCTCCTCTCCCAGATCCCCCTGCCTGGAGTTCTGGCATCTACTGCACTTCGGTGTCCAGCTCAGCCCTGGCTCCACTAAGCCATCCCTGAATGCCCGCAGCACTTCTGTTGAAGGGATGGGCATAAGACAGAGTCAGCTAGACGCAAAGGAAGAGCGCTTACACCAAGTTAAGAGCTACTTGGCTACTTAGCCATACAGCTAGTTCAACTTAGAAGTGTAAAAGCAAACGCAGGAAAACTGACAAAAAGGGTAAGTGCGCCAGCTTAGTTGATGACTCCTCCTACGTCTGAGCTGGAGCTGGAGAAACTTACAAGTACACAGTAAACGGATTTCCTTTAAACTGAGCCTGCTGAACATCTGATTTGCTTTAGACTCTGTATAACAAAGCCGAAGCTCCAACTGGTTATTCTAAACCCACGAGGCCACTTGTGACAGGGGATCCCTCCATAACTAAACAGGCTTCTGCTCTCCCCTCAACTACACAAGGCCAGGACAAAGAAAACACTCCCTCACCCTATTTTCTGGGCCCCTCCTGGACCCTCACAGGAACTACTTTTCTTCTTGTATTTCTAACGAACACTTTCCCGTTAACCTCCTTTCTGTCCGTGAGTCATTCTTTGAGCTCGTGAGACAGAGCTCTCGGGGTGTACACTCACACTTCCTCTGCCCACCTTCGGCCTCACCTGTTTTTTGCTCACTCCTCCCTCCAGATCAGCCCGCCCCTGTGCCCCTGCCTGCCCGCCCCACCGCCCCTCTGATGAGCGCTCCGTGCAGGATGCCCTTCACCTTCTGCTGCCTTGGCCACTTTGCTGCATGTGTCTGCCACATGTTCCCCCAGAGTGACTGGGTTTCTAGGGAAGCAGGGGCCATATCTTGGCTTCTTCTGGCTCCTGCATGCTGCCTGGGGTGGTGTAGGATGTAGAAGTCCACTTGGGAACACCCTGGTTTAGACGGAGGAGTGTGTGTTCTTACAAAGTATACCTGCACGGTGAGAACCGTGTCGGGGCAGCAGCTTCATCTCTTCTGTCCCACGGAGACTCAGAACTGTTACCTTAGATAGATGTACACGGTGTTTCTCAGCCTGTTGTGACTTTGCCCTGGGAGGTCACCGGCAATGCAAGGAGACATTGTTTCGTTGTCACAACTGGAAGGGAGAGGCCAGGGTGCTGCTGTCCAGCTGCAATGCGTGGGACAGCTCCCACAACAGGGGCTCTTCTGGCCTGAAGCCTCAGTAAGGCCTGATCGATGCGCTGAACTTCACATCCTAAGGCTGATGCTGCCGCCCAGTGGCGTATGTGTCCCTGTGCATTCTGGGAGGCACAGAAAGAGGATCCAAACAATGGTAACTTCGGAGATGCCTAAAACTGATACCAGGAGGGATTTTACTATGTGCGCACCTGGGAGGGCTCTTCTGTGGCTTCAAGTCGTTCACCTTGGCCCAAGTGAGGATCAGGGAAGTCTGCACTGCTTCAGCGCCCATCCCGCAGGGCTTGGAGGAAACACCACGGGGCCAGGACCTCAAAAGCCCGAAGTGGTGGCCTGGGGGGAATCTCTCTTCTGAAGCAGCTGTAGCCCCCTTGCTCTCCTCAGGGAGCGGGGGAAGGGTTTGTGGGAGGTTTGTGTAAGAAGTTAATCCTAGGAAGCATCAACAAAGTTCTTTAAGACCTTTTGCCTTTAGCCTTAAGTTTGATTTGGTATCAATTTTTGAATTATTAAACAAAAGCCAGTAACAAGAAACCCTCAGGTGATGTGTACTTGGAGGCGCTGCACGTCACGTGAGCGTTTATGGGCCCCCGGCTGGCCACGCCAGGAGGCGTCTGTGCTCCACCCACACAGCCCACCCTTCTCTCCAGGGGACGCCGGGCTCAGTGGCCTGAGATGCGCTGGCTTTGTTCTCCAAGTCTGCTGGGAGGGGCACGGCGAGCAGGTTTCCTACAGTGGAAATGATGGAGGGACAACTCTTCCCCTAAAAAAAATAATCACCCTTCCTTGGCAGGGTGAGTGCCTTACTGAGCACCAAAGGGGGTGTTCTTCCCAGGCACCAGCCCCTCTCAAGCCGGTCACATGATCTCTCCTTGCTGCCCTCCGAGACGAGAACTACTGTTGCTCATCACAGCGCCATGCGGGCGTTAGCAGCAGGCTCCTCCTGTGGATGAGGACGTGAGCCTCAGGAAGCTGAGATCACACAGCAAGTCCGTGGCAACTGGACCCAGAGCCTTGGGCTCCTGCCCTCTGCGCCACTGTCCCCGTGTGGATGGTGTCTAGCTCATGTGGAGCCGATTCTGCATGTTGGAGGTAGGCGTGGTTCATGTGGACACGGGGGCTTTGGGTGCTTCCCCCAAAAGACAGGGTGCAGGAAGTTCTCCTGAGAATGAGTGGGTGAAGATGGATGGACAGACCAGCGAAGTCCAGGAAGCCCTCCCTACCTCAGGCGCATCCCTGCTGACACTGGCCCTCCCTGGCCAGCTGTCCTTCCCCATCATCGATGCTGCCACGCTGTCTGCTGCCCGCTCCTCTTGGGCTTGTGGGTGCCAGGCTCCAACCCAGTCTCTGCCCCTTTTGCCTTTGCCCTTACTGCACGCTGCCTGCTCTCATATCAAGCCGTGGCTGTGCGCACAAACCTGTGAGCACCCCAGTGCGTGTGCATGGGCTGGACCCCGGAAGCCGCCAGCCTCGGAGCCTGTGCTCTTGCTCTTTGCCTGGGAACCTCCTCTGCGCCCTGCTCTGCGTATCCAGGCCCAGCTCCTACGCTCAGCTCAGGCACAGCCCCCACGCAGCCCCGCCAGAGTGTCTGACCCCGGCGCCCCTGGCTGGAACACTGCTTCCAAGACTCCGGGCCTGAGGGGCTGGTGTGCCCTCCCGGGCTGCCCCTGCCTTGTTCCACCGTCCCGGGCCTCCTTCCCTGTGGCCTGGGGGGCAGCTGCCTGTCTCAGCCTCCAGCTCTACTCTGCCCTGCCCAGCCAGGGCCGCGCTGGTCCTCAGGAACCATCCCATGCATCTTGGTTTGATGGCAACCGGGAACAAGGATTCCAAAGAAAGACCTGTAGCCTCTGCCGTCCTATTTCAAAGTATGCCAAGCTAGAACCAAAGCACAGGAGGAGTGAGTGTGCTCAGCGCAAAACGGGCCCCAGGCATTAATCTCCCCAGTGCCATGTACGGAAGCGTTTTTTTCTCTTAATTCTTTAATGGAACAATTTGAACTGGAAGTGAATTTGAGTCTTTTCTAAAATTACAGATTCAAAAGGAAGCTGGGGCAGCAGAGCGTCCTCTGAAGCCAACCAGCGCTTTCTCTGAGGAAAGCCTCCGCACAGAAGCACAGAAGTATTTCTTTGTGCCATTAAGGTGGTTAATTAGAAATCGACTCTTCAGAAGGGGCAAGCTGGGCCCCAGATGATTTCTGGGACAGATGCACTGGTGCGTGAGACACAGGGTATGGGCCGCTCTGCAAATACAGCCAACATTTCAAATTACCTTCTTTTGCCCCCCTAGTGCTGGGGGTTGAACCCAGCACCTTGCATGTGCTAGACAAGTGCCCCGCCGCCGAGCGACAGCCCTGCCCCTCAGACACAGCGTGGCTCAGCATCTGCCGTTGCCATTTTTGCGGTGAGTTTTAAGAACTTTACAAAATTGGAATTTTAGACTTTCTGCCACAAAAGGGGGATCTTTGCCAAAACGCTCCTCTTCTGTCTCCCCGGGATTTGCACGATTAGACAAGGAAACGGTTCACAGCGCTCCCTGCCAAGTCACAGTCGGATGATTGAGGCCTGGGGTCCAGGCGGGTTGGCCAGGGCGGAGGTGTTAGCTATTGTTGGAACAGCTTGGCAACGAAGAAAAGACTCCGGACACAGCCAAGGTTAAGTGGCAGAGAGGGGCCGGGCCAGAGGCCCCCAGCCGGCCGCGTGCGCAGGGGCTGCAGAGGCGCCGTGCTGGAGCGCTGGGGTGCTCACACCGCACTACACAGGACAAGACAGAGCCAGCTGTTGCAGCGGCAATGACCTCAGGGAGAACTGTTTTCTGGCAGCTAACCACTGGCCGGAGGCAGCTGGGGATTCGTGCAGAAAAGAGAAGCCTCAAGCCATCCCTGTAACAAGGTTCACGGCTGGGAGCGGGAGGTGACTTCTGCCCGTCCGGGAACCAGCGCAGGACTCACAGGTCGCGCCATCCCGCCACAGGTGCGCTGGGCGCTGGGCCTCAGCCAGTCCAGCGGGGACTGCTTTGCAGCAAGGCCGCGAGGCCCTGGTCTGCTGGGGTTGATCCGGGGCTGCTGAGGGCGGGCAGCAGAGCAGGACAGGGAAGGCCGAGGACGGCCGGGCAGCCCGGAAGCGGAAGCGGGGGCGGGAAAGGGGAAGGAGCGCTCCAGTGGCACAAGGTGGGAACACGGCCGGGGCCATCGAAGGTGAAGCCCATGCGCTGCGGGTTCAGGCTGCAGATGGGTGTCGGGCAGGGATGTGGAGGGAGAGCACAAGACCCGCAAGGCAGACAGCTGTCTGCTAGGCCTCAAGGGGGCCTGCAGGGCTCAGTCGGAGTGGGCTGCGCGACCGCAAGACCCAGAGGGCCTCGGGCCTGGTCCGCTGGCTGCAGGGTGAGGGTGAGGGGTGTGGGGAAAAGGGGTTCAGGGAACGCACAGGACACTGCTGCCCTTGGGCTCAGGCGTTCGGAGGGGACGGGCCGCTGCCTTCTACCACCCCCTGGAGGACCTAGACCTGCCGGTTGTCTTCTCACTGTCTGGTGAGAGCCGGTGCAGCCTGCTGGGCATGGATGCGGTCCACTCACGCTCCAGTGAGACGCAGAAAGCCTACTCTGCTCCGACGGGGGTGGGGAAGGCGGTTCTGTGGCCGTGTGCTGGCCCTGCCGAGCACTCCCCCTGCAGCACCAGCACAGCAGGAAGCTTATGCAGCCCTGGCCACCTCCACGGATGCCCAGATGGGACCTTTCAATGAGAGGTCACCGTTTTCCTGATAGTCAGGCCCACGCGTGTGCTCGAGAAATGGGACTCTCGGGGATGCGGAGCAAAAATGGCCTGCATGCCCACAGGGGCTCCCCAGTCGCTCGCTGAAGGACGATCGGGTGTTCACAGTCTTTCTGGAGGGGGGCGCATCCTGGCTTTCAGGGCTTGGTAGCCTGGGCCACGCTGTCCAGCTCCGGGAGAGGGATGGTTTCACGTCTTCCTCCAGTTATGCCGTCAGATCTAGAATCCGCCCAGGAGAAGGGATGCAGAAGGAAGCACAGTGGTGATCCCTGAATATACCTCTGACAGTGACCTCATGGGCTGGGCTTCACTTGACAGGAACCAGGGGTCCTGTGCTGTGGAGAGCGTGTGCACCCATTTGCCGTGTCCAGGCACACAGGGAGAGCAGGTGCAGCCTGCCAGGCATGGCAAGAAAGCCCTGCAAAAGTCCTGTGTAGACCCCAAGCTTTGCCACGCTGAGGACGTGGGCGCAGGGTCCTCCCTGTGCCTTTGCAGGTCCTGCACTGAGGAGGCCGGGAGGGGGTGTTGGGAACAGGTCCCGGGGCCCCACAGGAGGGCCACGTCCCAACAGGCGGCTGGGTGCCTGTCCTGGCTCAGAGTTGACTTCAGCCCACTGGCTTTCCTGATGACGTCAATAGGCCCCGCAGGGAACAGACTCTGGCCCCCCAGGCCACCCCTGACTTCTGTGCAGCCACCTCTCTGGGATACTTGTACCCTGTTTCCCGAAGAGCCCGGGGAGAGGCCATCCTGACATCCCCGGTCTCCACTGCAGTAACCATGCGGATGAGGACCGGTTGTTTCAGACTGTCGGGAAGGAACTGCAG